ACCTTATCAAAAGGCAGATACGCTCATTATTAAAGTCATCCTCATTTCAGCAGTACCCACAGTATTTGACTTTCCTATAAAACATATAATTTTCCCTATAAAAACTACAACTATTAAAAAAAACTGTCACTATAATGTTCAAGTTCCTGCTATGTGGCAGCTCTACAATTTAATGTGTATGTGGTTGTGAGCACTGGTAAACGTTTTCAAAACATATGTAGACTGTACATAAGATGGACAGAGAAGCTAGAGAATATATCCAGTATGTGCAGTTTAGTAAATATTTAATAATAACCAGTACTTTAAGCTTATTTTTAAAAAAAATCCTAAATGGTCTTTGAGTAAATTAGAATCATCATTTAAAAGGAAGGAGTCTGGGGCCATCTGTTTAAAACAGCAGGGTGTGATGGCACACTCCTATAATCCCAGCACTTGGGAGGCTGAGGCAGAAGGATAATTGTGAGACCAGCCTGGGCTCCAAAGTGAGCTCAAGGCCAGCCTGAACTGCATAGGGAGACCTTGTCTCAAAAAAACTAAATAAATAAATGTCAAAACAAAACTTAAAATATTTGCATTAAAGTTTAACCAAAATATTATCTTTTCTCCTTTTGTTCACAAATATTAAAAACAAACAAAAACCCTCCATTTGCTTACAGATCTGTAAAATATTGCATTAAGACTGTCACAACTGCTTGAAAAACACTGTACCTTCCAGCTTATTGCCACTATGAGGGTAAAACTATTGTGAAAGCCAAGCCCTTCCAGTAACTGAATGCTCTTGGAAGGTATTCAAGATAACGTTATAGTAAATTTCCAACTTGTTTCATCTAAGGTCAAGGAAAATAAGTTTTCTAAAGCACAAGGTTATGTTTAAATAGATGTTAACTAAAAGTTTTTCTTGTGGTGTTCTTTTTTTTTTGGCGGGAGAAGCAGAGACTAGGAAAAACACATTCTCACAGTCATATAATTTAAAAATGTTTAACAATTATCTAAAAAATAAAATGTTTTTTTTAATTTTTTTTGTGATGCTGCTATCACTGGCCTGCGGCTTCAACCCACTTGAAAATTTTACCAAATAATTACTTGGGAAAAGGTTTACCCTGTGCCTACAGTGGACCTTGGGTCTAGTAAGGGTCATCTGGGTGCACATAAGAATCAATGCCACACATTAATTACTTAATATTATTGTGAGAAAAATTTCAAACCAACTGCTCTCATTTAATATGTTGGCAGAATCTGGTAAAACAGTGGTGTATAATGATATAAAGCATCTCCAAATCCTAAATTTTGGACAGCATGTGCTAGTGGTTACTCTTTGGTTCCTAGAGGCTTTTATATGTTGTATGTCTGGTAAATATATAAAGAAACATAAAGACACTTTGTATATATGTGACCACATATGTAGACAAACATATATGACACTCCAGAGAAGCTGTGTTTGACTCACAATTTTTAAATAAGTTCTGCTAAACTGACAAGAACAAGCCAGCAGTTAACAGAAAAGCAACCAAAGAATAACAAAGTCTCAATGCCAAAAACCTAAATAAAGCAGGTACAGAAAATACTATCACATTTTCACTGAGTACTTTTATCTGCAAATGTTCATGCTTTTTAAAAGTTGAGTAGTATGCCAACTTTTATTTATGAAGAATAAGGGCCAGGGAGATAGCTCAGTGGTATAATCACCTGCCTGGCAAACACAAGGTCCCAAGTTTGATCCAGTACTGCAAAAACTAACTAAACAAATATTCATGAAGAATAACAGTCTATGATAAATTTATAATTCTCAAGAGAATTCAAGTTTAAAGAAATACATATAAAGATAATAAAAATAACAACTGCCATGTAAAGAACAGAAAACAAATGCAGTATGCTTTTATAGGAAATACGGTGGCTGTCTGAAAATTTAAAACTGGAATGGACTGAATATATCATATAGTAGACTCAAAAAGAACAAATTGAGATGAATATTCCCAATGTATTCAACATATACTGAAACAAGCAATGGAATTCTAATCAATGCTCACCACCAACATTGCCAGAATGAAATGGTAGATTTGTTGTAATATATCTTAAAACTTATAAATATTGAGTTATTAAGATTCTACTATTAAAAAAATTCTAGTATTAATGCCTTAAGTATTTGGCCTGCAAGACTGATACTTGCCCAACAGTAAAAATAAAGCCTTATTAGAGGCATTTATTTAACAAAAAGCTAAAGATCCCTTTCCTTGATGCTCATTTGTGACCACAAAGTGTTCTCTATATGCTGTACACAAAACTAGCAACAGATTGGCTTGAAACAGTTTGGATTTTCAACTTCCCATAATAAAGGCTATATTTTTAGAAGTGATCACATTAAAATAAATGTCTTTACTATTATGGGATGAAATTTAAAGCTGGAAAGGCAACAATGCCCTGGTTTTCTACTTTATTTGTACGCCACATGACTTCCACATGCTAAGAGTGTTTTATGCTTTAACCTGCAGTAAAGGCTTTACATCATTTTAATGCCTCAGTGCTTAAAATGCAACAGAATCAGCCCAATGAGTATAAAGAATACTTCTGGTATACACATAATGATTTTGATCCAACTATCAGTCAGAAAGTTTAATGAACATTTTCCCAGTAAATACTTTTGCATTTCCATGGATATAAACAAAAAAGGTAGGTGAGCCAAACACTACTCTTTTCTGCTCTTAACAAACATTTTATTTTTTAGATAATTGTTAAACATTTTTAAATTCTATGACTGTGAGAATGTGTTTCAGAAAATCACTGAAACATTCTCTACTGTGTAGTTATATAGAATTTTTCTCCAGTTTTTGCAAAGTAATGTTTCAGTTTAAGATGCAAGCTTAAAACAAGTAACTTTAGAAATCAAAACATCTAAAAACTAAAGGCTCAGCTTTGGTATGACACATTTTATATATAAGACTTGGGATTTAGAAAACAAATAGTTTTTCTATTCAGGTCAATCTACATATGCTACCTCATGCTTATAGTACCCCTTATCTACGTGAATGAGCAACAGCAGAAATTTCAAATCAAAGGTTATAGAACCTACTATAAAATTATACAGCATATCTACGTGACTTTCCATTTTTACAGACTTCAAACATCATTACTGATAGGTAGCAGATTTAAGAATTGGTAAATTCTGAATACATAAATACATTAAACCCTCAACAGTATAAATAGAAATTATGCCAATTCCTTCAAAGTCCATAAAAACTGTCACATGAGAAAGGTTATTGAAGAAGTTATATTTCAGATTGAAGGAAGCACAAAATATACGATCTTAAATTCTCCTGGTGTAATGTTATTAAATATTAAAGACTGTGAGAAACAAGAGATGTTGCACTCCTCTTCCCTTTAACTTGAAATGAAAACTGAAAGAAAATCAAATTTTATGGACTTACATACATAATTCAGCTAGATCTAGCAATTTATTTGTGCAATTTTAACAAGTTTAGTGCAAAGTACTACAGAATTGACTAGCTGTAATAATTACCTGTGATATAAATTACCAGCAAAATAAAACATGAGTCCTTTTCACTTGATGTATTTTACAGTAAAATCATAAAAAGCACAACCATATTAGTACAAACTAAAATAACGGCAAAGGAGGCATAATATCCATCAAAAAAAGAAAAGCCTATACTAAGGAAAGAAAGAAGAAAGAGGGAAGGAGGAAGGAAATAAGGGAAAGAGAAGGGAGGGAGAAGGCAAAGGTTTCTAAAGTTGCAGGATCCTAGAGAAATTAACTAGTCAAATCACTCTATCTTACATGATATATGAAGGATTTTTCAAAAAAGCTTCAGTGTACACAAAAATAACCATCACTTTATACTATACAACTTCACACAGTGCAGTATCTTCACTGCCAACTGCATTCTTCTATTCACTCACCCAATGCTTCCTCACTCTTCCACAGGAGCTTTCAGGCAAATGTGAGAACAGGGTGGGGTAGAAGAAAAATACAAGCAGAGCCCTTCAGCGCAAGCCCTCTTCCCCGCTAATAATTTCCAACAGCTTTTTATTATTGTTACAATAAATAAATCGTCCTATGTCAGGACACAGAAAAATTCTCTCTTTAGAAGACAGACGTGTATGCAATCCACCACTCTCGACCCTCACGCCCCATGCCCCCAAATTTTAAGTAATTACTTATCTACTGGACACAAAAATTACAAGATACCTCTACCTACTGTTTCGGGGTAAAGGTGGGTGGAGGTCACCTTTCAAAGTGGCCCCAATCGTGTAACCAAAACACGGTTCCGGAATAAAATATTAAGAAACATTTCTCCTTTCCCACCTATGCCTACTTCAGGATGCACAGATCCATCTCCACATCACCTCATCTCTACGATCCTCTAGCCCGGAGTTTGGGGTGGAGATTTGTCTAGGGGAGGGGACGGAGGCGGGTGCCGAGTGTGAGCGGGCACTGGGACACGAACGAGTTGCTGAGTCCACCAGATACCCCACAACACGTCTCCAGCCCAAACGTCCAGCGCCAGGACAAACGCACGCCCCCAGCCCAGGCCCAGGAAAAGCCTGGACGCTGGCTATCTAACTTCCCATTTCCGCACGTTCCTCCAAGACGAGCTAGTACGCGAGAACGCGTCACACAGTTTACAACAGTTATACGCCCCAAACAAACCGACACACCTCAAAAGCACCTCACAGTTTCCCAAACTCCACGCAGAAGACCCTACCTCCGCCCACATTGGTGGAAACCAGAACCAAAGAGTTGAGAAGCAATCGAAGCCTTTCCATTACCGCCCCCCACAAACTGCCCCACCCCGCACTCCACGTCCGGGTCACCCCCTCCGAAACCACCCCCCCTCCGTGCGCCCTCCCTCCTCTCGGTTTGGTTGCTCAAAGAGACTCATCCTGGCTCCCACTCACTTTCTCCCCAAGACCCCTCAATTTATTTTCCTTTAAGTAAAGGGAAAGGAGATACTTGAGGTAGCCCGGTTTCAAACCGCACGACTCACCTCAGAATCCTCGCTGAGTTCTCTCCGCCCGGCACAACCCCCTCCCCAGCCGTCCCAGTGCGAAGGGCTGAGGTAGGGAGGAGGGAAGCAGGAGGGGGAGGGGTGTCTTCCGCGCGGGGCGCCCGACGGGAGGGATTGGGGCGGGCTAGAGGCCGGCTCAGGAAGAGGAGAAGGGGGAGGGGAGGCCCCTATCTCCCAGTCTTCCCCTGAAAAACCTCCCTTGTCTCAGTCACATCAGACTGACTGTCTTTGTCTGGATGACAACCGCCATATTGATATCAACAGCCCCGCTCCCACCTGCTGCAGCCGAGCATCCCTGGGAGTTGTAGTTTTTGTTTCACTTAAGTAAAACCTCTAGGGTCACCGTCTATAGATCATCAGAAACTACAACTCCCGGCAGGAATCGCGCCCAGCCGCCTTCCCACGGGGAGGAGGGGAAAGGGAGAGTGGAGCCGTGGGGACTACACATCCCAGAATACCCTGGGACTCGGCCCCATACGAGGGACATGATATCATGCTGGGGTGGAGAAGGAGGATGAATTGGCGGTGAGGATAAACTTGAGTTGACGGAAGAAGGCTTTCGAAAGAAAAGGGAGGAAAAGGAAAGCCGACCACAGTTCACATGGTGCCGGGGAAGACTACACTTCCCATGATGCCTTTGGGAAGGGGTGCGAGGAGGAAAAACTCCCAACTTCCGCGACGCTCTCGGCGGCAGCCTGCGGAGACCGGAAGACGTTTTCTGGATTTGAGAAGCGGGGAGGTTGATATTAAACATCCTAAAGTCCGACATGAAACTGGTAAGTCTTCGGTGCTCGGTCAGAGGGCAAAGGTGCTCCCATAGCCTTTCGGACTTCGTCGTTTCCTCCTTGAGCTGGGAATCGCAAAGAAAGGGTGATAGCCAAGAACTGGACAGAGAAGTGGGCTGAGGAAAGCTGCTTTTTTGTGATTGAGGTTTGATTTTTCAACTCTCTCGCCCTGCAGCCCTTTTAACTGCCCGGATATCTTTAATCACTCTGCCGTCTCTCTAAACTCAAACGTGAGGTTGACTGTCAAATGTCTTCTTCACTTGCGAGCTAAGGTTAGGCTCTGTTAACTATGCGTGGTCTTGTTTCTCAGCTTCCACATAGATGTTATTGTAATGGGTTAACTCACATTTTAGGCTATATGGGTGAATCTTGTGCTTTCTGTTGTAAATGCATACCCACCCATTGTTTTAGATTGTTTAGTAAATAGTGGCTGTTACCCGTAGTTTGCTAGATAAAACTCACCAATCCTTTTAAACAAAGACTTCTAACTCCTTATAACCTTCAGGCTATGCAAGGCTGCCTGCAGGTACTCAGGTGCAAATTAACCAGAAACTGAAACAACAGCCCCAGGAAATGTAGTTCAAGTCCTGGTCCCAATCACTCTAAAAGCTTTATTTTGTGTCAGACAGTAAATTTGCTTATCAAACGCAATGTGATTCCAAGGTTTAAAACCCCTTCCTGCTTCTTGGGCTGCCGCCCTTTCGGTCCTCTCCTGCGTGAGAGCAGACTGGGGGGCCCTGAGCTCAGTAATAAACGGCTTTCCAAATTCCAACCTGGCTGATCTGGTTCCTATTCTGAGTGACCCATAACAGTTATAATAGGTTGTTAACCAACTTTTCAAAACTCAACAAGCCCTTGAGTGGCCTGTATCTCAGCGGTTGTTGAGAAAATAGACTCGATCAGAACCGAGAGTTGAAAATAACGGGCATTACGTAGTCACTTGTTAAAATTTCCTGCCACAGACCCTCAACAGCTTTAGAATTGAAAGAAAGCAATTGCAATGTGCTCTTGAAGGATTTAAGTCTTCAACCCTACTGAGGATTTGATTGGACAAAGAAGAAAATGTTAAAACAACATTTTAGGACTTTATGGACCGCAATAGACAAGGCTGGATAGAACATGCTTGTATTCTTGGAAAAGGAAAATTTTACATCCAAAACACTTGACTTACAGAAAGCTTTTCAGAACTTGTTTCAAGCCATTTTATTCCCACTAAACTGAGTTGGTAACAACTTAATTTATCCCAAAATAGAAAAGTAGATGTGAAATGCTGTTTCTCAATCTTTGAAAATCCATAATTTTGAAGCCAAGTTATTGTCAAGCTTTATTTTCTGTAAATGCTATATAAAAATAAAAGATTTATTTTCTTTTTCCTATTTATATAATTATTTAAGAATGCTTTTCCAAAGCCCATAACTCACCCACCCCCACTTGATAATCATTTTGTGTTTTGTTTTGTTTTATTGGTTTTTTTTTGTTGTTGTTGTTGTTTGCGGAATCAGCGATTGAACTCAGGCCCTTGTGCTTGCCAGGGAAGCACTTAATCCACTGAGCCATCTCCCCAGCCCCTCATTAGGTGTTTTTTGAGAGGTCAGAGAAAGTATTAAAAGTAGATTCAGTTCAAAAACACTTTAAGTCATTTACAACACGAAGGATGTAGATCAGTAAATTTTGAGAATATCAGTTTGCCTCAAGGGTCTGTGTGTTAAACATACAATGCAGAATTGAAAGTTACAGCCTTTGTCTAAAAGAAACAGCAATCTAGAGAAGAAGACCAAAAAGCTAGCCAAAATCAGAATGGGCTGTGTTCATGGTCAAATAAAGGCATTTCAAGATTTTGGGAACTGAGGCTACAGATGACTAGAGAAGTCACAGGCACTTCCTGCAAAGGTAACTCTTGAACGGTTAAGGATAGGTAGGGGCCTAAGGATGTAGCTCAGCGGTGGAGCGCTTTAGTATACAGGAGGCCCTAGGTTCAATCTCCAGTATCAAAAAGGGTCTTGCATGAGGAGAGTTCAGTTTATAGGATCAAAAGAGCATGGGAAGGGGGCTGGGGAGATGGCTCAGTGGAATAAGCACTTCCCTGGCAAGCACAAGGGCTTGAGTTCAATCCCTGGTTCCCCCCCCCCCCCCCCACCCCCCCGCCAAAAAAAAAAACCAACCCAAGGAAAAGAGCATGGTACCTTAAAAGTTGAACACAGGCCCTCTGTTCTCAATAAAGAAAAAGCTGTGCTTGGTAGCCCAGCTAAAGGAATCAGGGAAGTATGAAAGTTTTTGCAGTAACACTTGTGATGATATCAGAGTCAGGGTTTACTTTACATATACTTTGCTCATGAAATCCTCCTGCTTAATTTATTTAGAAATGTGAAAAGATGGAAGGGGAAAAAAGAAAATTATCTTTTCCTTTAAGATTCAAAAAGACAAGTAGATTCAAAAGACAAGTTGGGCATGGTGGTGCATGCCATAGGCTGGGGCAGGAGAATCCTACCTGAGTTTCAAGCCAACCTGGGCTATGTAGCAAGACCCTTCTTAACAAAACAAAAGAAAACAAAAGATGCCTCAGAGGAAAAGGATGTCTTCTGTTGTTGCTACCTCCTCCTTTACTTTGAAACTATCTATTGTACACTACTAGTCATTTGATATTTAAAGATGGGGATCTACAAATGTAGAATTCCTGTTGTTACCAGTCATGACTGGAAAGGAGACCAAGCCAAGAATTTCACACACACAGAAAGGCAAGACTTTAATTCCAGGATTCAACTGATTAAAAAGAGGGAGCAGGCCACTTCCATAACAAGGGGAACAGCAAGCTTTTATTCATTTGCTTGGGTAAGCTAAAGCCTGGTAATATTCTGTAGGCCTGGAATTGCTGAAACTACTTTTGTATCTTTTGCCATCATCCTGTGCAAACATCCTGGTCTTGTAGTTCAGTCTGGGCTTTATGATGTGATGTGACTGAAGGGCTTGAGATGCTCAGCTTTTGAAGCTCCTGAAGAAGCATACAGGTAGTGGTAGACAAAGAAAGGAAAGATCTGTTTGAATTCCAATAGGCAAACGACATGTCTATTTATACAGCTGTATAGAATCTGGCCCAAAGGTTAAAAGGTAGCAGAAGAAACAGACAGTATAAAGGCAGAGATGCCAAGCCCTTATCCCATTCCAGTCACCTATCAAACATCTGTAGTCTGAAGTGTATAGTTATCTTTCTCAGCAAAAATTCTTAGATCCTGAAAAGTAACCTAGGCAACTGTTACTTATCATAGCCCCAATGTCAGAGGTGTTATTTATAGCAAACCTAGTGGGAAACTAATAACTGATTACCAAGTTGTATAATCTCTAAAACTGGTTATTAACTCATCTAAGGGCAAATAAAACCAGAGGATTTATTTAGGTGTTTTTCTTTTGGTTTGCTTTGGGTTTGGGTTTTTGTTTTTTTTTTTTTTTTTTTTTAGGTGTTTTTGTTGGTGACAGTTTTGTCATCCTTTGTCAATATTCTGCTTTTGTGGTTCCGTCATAATCTCATGATGTCTGTTGGAAAAGGCACCAGGCCACAGAAGCAACATTATTATTATTATTATTATCCTATAAATGATAATTTATCCTTCCTAATAAAGGATAATAATTTACTATGCCCAGGAACTTTAATGACCCCCCCCATGGTGGTCCCTGACTGTCTCACTATCAATACACTGAAGTATTCTCAAAAGCATTGTTGTGCAATAAGTTATACTCATGTGTGCTTTTCAAACTTTTTGAATAAATCTTGCCATGGTCTAATTTTTTTCTATTTTGATGTAATACCAGTAACTGTTAATAAAAAAAATATAAAGAAGCACTCTTCTTTCTATGGAAAAATAGAATTTTATAACAAAGTACTTTGAGAATAACAATAGTCAATGTACTACATCATAATCTTAAAAGAATGGCCAAAATGTTATTCACAGTAAAGGTCACACACAAAAAAGATTCTTACAAAGAAGAAACAGATAAAAGCACAAAACTTTCTCTTCAGTGAACTAAGGGACATTAATTGAATGAAGCAAATTAATATGTTAAAAATTTTTTAAACAATGAAGTAGATAATTTGTGCAATCACTTGGACTTTTCTATTTATCTTTTATTTTGCCTATATATGTATATGTTTGTTTCTGATGTAAGAGAAACCATGCAATATTGAACCTTATTTCATTTAACATGTTCTCCAGTTATATCCATTTTCCATAAGTGCCTCAAGTTTATCTTTTTTTTTTTTTTTTTTTTTTTTCAGAACCAGGGATTGAACTCAGACCCTTGTGCTTGCCAGGGAAGCACTTATGCCACTGAGCCATCTCGCTGGCCCTTGAAATTTATCTTGATGGCAAAGTAGTACTCCATTGTATATAAATGTATTTTCTTTATCCATCTTTTGATGGCTATATAATATATATGCTGCTTCCTTTGTGTATTGCTAAGGAACATGAAGTAGAGTGTGTTTTAATTTTATATCATAGGGTTCAGGGGTATAGTTCAGTGGTGGAATATCCAGCCTGTGCGAGGCCCTGAGTTTGATACCTAGCACTGCACACACATTTTATACGATGAAACATTTTATTGAGCACATTCTTGTTCTTGCGATTAGGACTTTCTTGAGTATCTTTCCCCCACACAGCCTGTGGCCAAATCGTCTTGATTCACCTTAATGAAAGTTTCTTAAATTGGTATATTTTTGTTCTCATTAAAACTGCCTTTATACATGTTCTTTTGACTGGTCACTTGTTTTTTGGGGGGTATTTTTTTTTTTTTTTTTTTTTTTTTTTTTT